CATCTCTCACTGAACCTTCTCAAAATGGCCTACATGTGTGTCATGAATGCTGTGTTACTAATGAAGAACCAAGGAAGCAGGAAGCCCCAAGTCACGTCGCTGGAAGTGGTCGCTAAGATTCCAAGTCAAGGCTGCCCTCCCACCTCCAGTCCAATCTGTCTGCGCTGGGCTGGGCTAACTGGGCAGGGGAGTCCACCAGATGCCCTCTCCCAGGGCCCTAGAGTCTGTCCCCTCCTCTCCCACCCCCCACTCTTGATCTGGGCCATTGGAGTCACCCATCCTGCCTCTCTCACTATCCTCTTCCTCCCATCTGAGTTCACACCTCACTCAGGCAAGGAAACACCACTGCCTGTGTCCTCCTCTGCTGTAAAACCCTTCTGTTGCCTGCAGGCTGGCTTCTCACACTGGCCGGAGTCCAGCAGAGAAAGCCATCATCTTCTTGGAGCAACAATCATACTTGTTTTCAAATTATAACAAATACATGCTGTAGAGTGGAATGCAAAATGCCCAGGGGTTTTCTCAGAGGACTTGTTTGGGGCTAAGCCTCAAAAATAGGTGTGTGTGTGCATGTGTGTGTGTGTGTTGGTGGGGAGAGGAGTATCACTCTTCAGGAAAAAAAATTCACTGTACCTCAGAGATGAATGGAAACTCACAGCCTGGTCCAGCAGGTCCTGGCACACTGGCATCCACTGCCTTTCCAGTTGTGCTTCCACGATGCCTGGGTGTGGTCTGTGCTCCAGCCAGATTATCTTTAAGCCTCTTCCCTACAGCCAGTGGTCCCTTGCTTTCCCTCTGACTAGACTATCTCCCCTATCACCCTGGGAAGCTCCTGGTATCCTTTAAGGTCCATTTCCATGTCCCCTCCTCCAAGAAGCCCTCCCTGATGCTAGTCCCCTCCCCATGCAGTATAGCTCTTGCTCTCCTCTCTTCACAACTTCTTACTACAGGATTATGGGACCATCAATTTGAGAGGTAGACTTTCCAGGAGATTATGAGCAACTTGAGGTCAGGAAGTTCACCATGAACTCTGACTTCACTTGTCCACTCAACACATATTCAGGGTCCCTCTGGCCAGACCATGGGCTCTGGATGAGAGAGTGACTCAGTGTGTCCTTGCAGGGGGTCTGATGTGAGGAAGAGACAAATCATTCACTGATATATTAAAACAACAATCGGGGATCCCTGGATGGCTTAGGGGTTTAGTGCCTGCCTTTGGCCCAGGGCACAGCCCTGGAGTCTCAGGATTGAGTCCTGCGTTGGGCTCCCTATGTGGAGCCTGCTTCTCCCTCTGTGTGTCTCTTATGAATAAATAAATAAAATCTTAAAAAAAAAAAAAGAAAAAAGAAAACAACAATTAAAAAACAAATTATTTTGTTAATCCCCAACTGGGTCCAGGCCCTCAGGTCAAGGTTAAGGATACAGAAAAGAGCAAAACCTGTGCCTGCCCTTAAGGAGCTCCCCGTCTGACCTATAGCCATTGGAAGCAACGTGTTAAGTGCAGGGTGTGTCTCCACGGCTGTGGAGCACCGGGACAGGTGTGAGGTGTGGGATCCTTTTGCTTTAGGTTTTTTTTTTTTTTTAATGATACTGAATGAATGAATTTTTTCTGTGGGCTCTCTTTTCCATTTTATGGAACTTGTAGTGTTCTAATCACGAATGAACTCTGTAAATCAAATACCCAATAAATAACTGATCGAGTAATTGACTGAAATGTCACACCAGAAATTGCTGTGGCAATAGTGCTAGATTCTGGGTCTCTACCACCCCTGGACTTTCTCAGTGGGGAGCAAATCTACTCTGACCATGGCTGGATCCAGGCTGCAAAACCTCCTGCAAACCCACACTAAAATGCAGCAGTTCCCGGCCTACCTCCCAAGGGGGTCGTAAGCATTAATTAGTTACCATTGGTAAAGTGCTCTGAAGGTGTGGGGGTGTATAAACACTGCAAGTCATTAGGCCTCGCCATGCCACTACGCTCTACAGCCTGGGAACTGCTAATTGAGAAATAATTAACACCTCAGGGTGCAGAGGGGATGCCTGGCGTTTCCAGGATTGGAAGGGATGTAGTAACATGCATGGAAGCAGGAAGAAATATAAGGTTACAGGGGATCCTGCTACTGAAGATTATTCACCTCCTGCCCCCAGAGAGGAGACATGGGGCGCATTGCCTCAGTAAAACCTTTAGGACTGCACTCCTTGGGGAAAGCCTGGACTGCTGAGCTGCAGAGGCCCAGGGACATTCTTAGACCAAAGGAGTTCAGGTCCAGCCCAGCTCTGCCTGGTCTCCTCACTGGAGGGCAGATGCCAGTCTCGGGGTTCACCCAAGCTGTATTTTCTCCCACTGTAGGGCCAAGGTGATGACAGGCATAGACACCGCCCCTGCAATCCAATGCCCCAAACCAGGGTGTCCAATGCCTTTCCTCTAGAGCAGCAGGGCTAGCCCCGACTGCACATTAGGATCATCTGGGGAACTAGTGATACTCAGGCCCACCCCAGATTGATACCCAGCATCTTGGGGCTGGGGGATTGGGACACAGGGTGAGTCCAATACAGTTGAGGTTGAGAAGAACTGCTTTGGCCTGTGTGTCAAGCGCTGTTGGTAGCAGTGGGAAATAAAGATGTAAACCCTATGACACCCCCATGGCTCCCTCATACCAATTCATCATTTCCTGATTCCCTGCCCACGTATCCTGGTCCCTCAGCCTGGCCATTCCACTCCACTCCCACAACCATTCTTGTCCTGGTAAACCTGACTCATTCTTCAGGCTCAGCTCAGAGATCGCCTCCTCAGTGAAGTCCTCCTTTCCGACATTCCCAGAGGGCTTTCAATGGCCCCCACTACACCACTGATCATACAATGTTGTTCCTAGCAGATTTGGGGGTCTGAGAGCTTCTTGGGGTCAATGTCTTGCATTGGGTTTGGTACCTTTTAGGCACTGGATAGACTAGCTCCCTCCTCAGGACATATGTACTTGGTTCTCTGTGTCTAGAACATTCTTCCCCTATATATCTGCAAGGCTGTCTCACCTTGAGGTCTTTGCCAAAATGTCACATTCTAGATGAGGCTTTCCCTGATCATCCTATTTTAAATTGCAACCACTCTACGTCCAGTCCATTCCCTTTTCATAGTTAATTTTTTTTCTATGCATGGATACTGATGGATTCTGTCTTTATTTAAAACTTTTGTATTTTGTTCACCACGGATTTTTACATTAATTTTGGGTTTTTTAGATTAACTGCATAAAAATACTACTTTGGTTACTGAGTTCCTGGTCCCCTCCTAAATTTCACTGTATTAATTATAGGGACTCTTTTCACTAGAATGTAAGAAAGCAGAGAACTTTTTGTTCTATTCCCAGTTTCTCCAAGTGGTTGGTACGTGGTAGCTAATCAAAAAAGTATTTTGAGGGATCCCTGGGTGGCTCAGCAGTTGAGCGGCTGCCTTTGGCTCAGGGCCTGATCCTGGAGTCCGGGGATGGAGTCTGGTGTCAGGCTCCCTGCATGGAGCCTGCTTCTCCTCCCTCTTCCTGTCTCTGCCTCTCTCTCTCTCTGTCTCCCATGAATGAATAAATAAAAACTTTAAAAATTAAAAAAAATATATTTTGGGAATGAACGTTTGATTTAGTGTCTTAAAAACTGTCTTGGGCTTTGTAATGAAGGTATTTTTTTTTCTATTTAAAAATTTTAAATGGGGGGGGGGTACCTGGGTGGCTCAGCGGCTGAGCATCTATCTGCCTTTGGCTCAGGTCATGATCCCGGAGTCCCAGGATCGAATCCCAGGATGGACTCCCTGCAGGAAGCCTGCTTCTCCCTCTGCTTGTCTCTGCCTCTCTCATGAATAATTAAATAAAAGCCTTAAAAAAAATTTTTTTTTTCTAATGGGGGTACCCAGTGGCTCAGTGGGTCAAGCGTCTGCCTTCAGCTCTGGTCACGACCGCAGAGTCCTGGGATGGAGCCCAGAATTGCATGGGGCTCCTCGCTGAGCAGGGAGTCAGCTTCGCCCTCTTGCTCTGTCGCTCCCCTGATTTGCGCTTTCTCTTGCTCACACAGTCTCAAATAAATAAATAAAATCCTTAACAATTTTAAATGCATTTAAGTGGAAAGCCTGGGGCAGCCCGGGTGGCGCAGCGGTTTGGCGCCGCCTGCAGCCCGGGGCGCGATCCCGGAGACCCGGAATCAAGTCCCACGTCGGGCTCCCGGCATGGAGCCTGCTCCTCCCTCTGCCTGTGTCTCTGCCTCTCTGTGTGTGTGTGTCTATGAATAAATAAATAAAATCCTAAAAAAAAAAAAAAGCGGAAAGCCTGTGAAGTCCCAGGGTAGATTCCGACCGGAAAGGCTCACTGCCAGCGGCCGTTCTACTCCAAGAGTGGGGCGCCACGCCACGCCACGCCACGCCAGGCTCTTACCATAGAGTTACACCTCCCCAAGTCCTAGAGGGGACTTCCGGAACGGTCCTTTACTCCTCGCTGTCCAGGTCTATCTATGGTCGTGGAGGAGAGCGGGGCTCTAGCTCCTTCGCTCCACTTCCGGAAGGCCTGTCCCGCGCGCCTGGCTCCCCCGTGGGAGCGGCTCTCTGATTGGCTCGGCGGCCAGGAGGCGGGGCTTGGCACCCCGCTGGCGCAGGCGCGTTGGGCCGGCGCGGCGGGCGCGCGGGCGGCGTTGACTGCGGCTTGGGCTGGTGAGCTTGGGTGGCCGCGGGGATCGGGCGGGGCCGGCGGGGCGGAGAGCGCGCTCGGGTTCGGGCTCGGCTGTGGGCGCGGCGCGGAGACCTAGGACCGCGGTGGCGGTGCGTCCACGTGCATCCCGTCGCGGCTGTGCGGCGGGGTCGCAGTCGCCTGAACTCTCGGATAACAGCGCTTCCTCCGTGGAGGACCTCGGGCCTTGGGGGTCACGGCGTTCCTGGGAGCGCGTGGGGGCCCGGCCGACGCCCCCTCCCCCCATTTTGCGTATGGGGAGACCGAGACCCCGAGACCGAAGTTGGCTGAGCAGGGCCAGCCGGGCCGCGTCGGGAGGACGAGGTCTGGGGCTCCTTTGCTGTCCCAGACGGAAACCGTGGAAACCGGGAGGCGGGGAGCTCCTTCCCCTGCTCCTCTGCTCCTCTGCAGTGACCTGGCCTCCCCGAGCTTGCCTCTTGGGTGAGCGGCGCAGGAGGGCAATAGCTAGCACGGTGGCGCTCGCTCTGTACCAGGAGCTTCACGTACAGCTTTGCTGGGTGGATTGCAGGCCCGCGTCAGGTTCGCCCTGCAAGAGGCCTGTGCCTCGAGCACCCGAGCAGCTGCTCCGTGAAAGTTTGTTGAATGAATGAATGAGTGACTCAGAGGCTCTTTGCCAGAGTCTGAGGTGCAGGACACATTAATTCCTTTTTTTTTCTTTTTAAGGTTTTATTTATTAGGGGCACCTGGGTGGTTCAGTGGTTGAGCATCTGCCTTTGGCTCAGATGGTCATCCCCGGGTCCTGGGATCGAGTCCCACATCGGGCTCCCTACGAGGAGCCTGCTTCTCCCTCTGCCTATGTCTCTGCCTGTGTGTCTCTCATGAATAAATAAATAAATTTTTTTTTTTTAAAGATTTTATCTCCTACAAGAGAGTGCACATAAGCAGAGGGAGCAGGAGAGGGAGAAGCAGGCTCCCCACTGAGCAGGGAGCTGGGTGATGTGGGACTCCATCCTACCACCCTGGGATCATGACCTGAGCCAAAAGCAAATGCTTAACGGATTGAGCCACCCAGATTGCCAGGTCCCCTGACACATTCATTCCTATACTGCTTTCAAGGTACTGTCTGTAGATAACCTTGAAAATTTGAGACGAGTAATTTATTCTCCCATCTTTGTAAGCTGAGGGGTCTGAGGACAGGGACACATTGGGGGTGAGGACAGAAGGCTTAAGGCTTTTATTTAAACTACCTGGATAATTGCCGCATTGCACTCCTTCACTTTGCTTTTCATTCACTTTTGATCAGCAAGCGTTATTAGTAGTAGCCCAAGTATTAGGCGTTGTGCTAGACCCTGAAATCTGACAATATAGAAAATATGAACTCCTCATTTGATGGAGGAATAGGACAGGAAGCATTGCTCACTCCCAGTGCCTGGGAACAGCAGTTTCTCAGAAAAGTTTTTGAAAATTATTCCGGTGCATTAGACTATGAAGAGGTGGGGGCACAGAGAAGGAAGTGATCATCTCTGGAGGGGTTGGAGAAGCTTCTTGCAAAAAGGAGCCTTGAATGATGCAGCTGATTGGGGTGAAGCTGGCCTCTTCAGGAATGATGAGCAGTTTGTGGAGCATGTTAGGAGAGTGGTAGGATAAGAAGCTGGAAGAAGCTGGAAGTGTGTTAGAATCAAAATATGAAGAGGCTTCCTCTGGAAGTACCATTCCAAAAAAATTATGATGGGGAGCCATTAATGGGTTATAAGCAAGGGAGTGATTGGATTAACTGTCTTTTTAGCTGTAATATGGAGACAGGACAGACGGGTTCAAGAGTCATTCAGTTCAGTCATTGATGGGCATGTATTGAGGATCAACTATGTGCAGGCATCATGTGGGATGTTACTTGGAAAAAGAGATATGGTTACTGCCCACGTGGAGTTTATAGTGCTTTTCCCAGAGTAGTACCTGGACCAACAGTAGCAGCATCACCTGGAAACGTGTTGGAATTACAGTTTCTCTGCCCACACCCCAGGCCCACTGAATCAGAAACTCCGGGGCTGAGGCTCTACAATCAATGTTTTAACAAGTCATCCAGGTGATTCTGTTGCTCACTTAAGTTTCACAACCACTGAGCTACTATAATGGACCAAGCAGTTGTGAGGAGCTAACCCAGGGTAGAGGCAGTAAGAGCCAGAAAAGAGGGCGGTGGACTTGAGAGGAAGATCAAAGATGGGCTCGTCTGCTTTAGGAGGAGTCAGTGGTGAAGGAGTTTCTGGTGTGGGCCCCTGGCCTGAGGTGGGACCTGAAGTGAGGGAGCCAGATGTGAACCATGTGTTCTTAACCTTCGGGGCCTGCACTTTTCCACTCAGGCACATTAGAGCTCTGTGATAGTGCCTCCCAACCTACCTCCGGCCACAGGCCACGTAGATGATAATATTTGTACCGTGCATGGGGGAAATGGGTGAGGCTGCCCGAGGTGGCAGGGGACCAGCCGGAGGCCTTGAAGCCACTGGGAAGCTAGAGGGGCCCGCCCAGGGGTTCCCCAGAACTGAGAGGAGTCAGGAACCCATTGCCAGCATACTGCAGGGCAGCCCTACTTCATGGGAGATGCTAAAAGGTAGCAGCGCTCGCTGAACTTGGCAATATAAATCAAGAACCTTAAAAGAGTTCATATGTGTTGACTCAGTGATTCCATTCCTGAGAATCTCTCCCAGATGTACAACAAACAAAAGCCTTCTGTTCATTGTAGATTATATATAACAGAGAAAATGACAACTCTCTGTAGTAGGAGAATCATGTCTGATATGCTCAGTAGAATGTTGTACTGTCATCAAGAATGTGAGCATTTTGTAGAATCATAGAGAAACACATATGCTCATTCAGAAGACAGTGTCTAGGAAAGCCCTGCCCCATGCTGAGTGGCAAGCAAGTTAGATGTGGTCCTTGGCTGCACAGAGCTGAGTGCCCGGGGGCAGCAACCCGAGCCGTCTCTCTGAGAGTGATCGGCTCTGAGAGTATGGGCTGCTGTGGGAGAAGCTGGCCTTCTGGGCATGGGAGTGGGACCAGGAAGGCATCCTGGAGGACAGGATGGTGATCCCAAGACTGGGGGGATAAGTCGATGTTGGTATGCAAGGGGCACATGTGTTAAAGAGTGAGCATGGTACAGCTGGAGCGTGGAAAGGGCTATTGATGAGGCCAAGCCTCAGGGGGCCATCAGCCAGCTCGTGTGTGGAGAGGTTCAGAAGCTTAGACATGATTCTAAGGGCCGCAGGAAGTCCCTCATGGCTGCAGCATGGAGAATGGATTGGAGGAAGGCAGCGATGGAAGCTGGGGCCCAGGGTGGAGGCTGCTACAGTAGCCCAGGGGAGGGATGGTGGTGTGGAGGTGGGGAGGAGGGACAGACTGAACAGCAAGTGAAGGGGCAGGATGGCAGGGCTGAGAGGGTTGGTGTGTGTGGGCCATGAGGGGGCAGAGTGGATGAATCCAGGTTTCTGTTTTGGGCTTTTGGTGCCATTGAGAGTGATAGGCTGCACGGAGGGGACGGGGGTGGGGAAAGGGAGGAAGGTGCTAAGTGCCTTCCGGGTGCATCGTGTTCTCCAGGAGACAGTCGGATAGGTAGGTCTGGAGCTGGAGTGCAGATGTTGACTCAGGGTCGTGAGCGTGAGGCCTGACAAGGAGCGCTCTGAGGAGGAAAGAGGCATAGACACTTAAGGCAGGAGCGGGGTGGAAACATGGGCAAAGGACAGAGCTTGCAAAAGAGACAAGGGATCGTCAGCAGCAGTTGTGTCCAGGCTGAGGGATTCGAGTTGGTTTCCTTTTCTTTTTTATTTGTTTCTGTTTTTTTTTTTTTCCCAGTTTTCTGTAGTAACCATAGCAAACATTGATGGCACTCATAGAATGTGTCAGATACTATTCTAATAACTTTTTATAACTCTTCTAAATCCCCACAATGAGCCTACAAGATAAGTCCTGTTGCATTACCATTTTGCAGATGAAGAAACTGAGCACAGAGGGGTTAAGTCGCACATCCTGGGCACAAGAGTGTAGAGTCGGCAAGAAGCCCACCTGGAGTCAAGGCTGCCTGACACCAGAGCCAGGGCCATCCCCAAGCTGTGGTGTCTCTCCCCAGTATGCTGTTATATTTTTATAAATGGGAAAGTACTGATTTTCTTTTAAACAAAGGTAGTACTTGAATCTGCTTGAAAATTAGAAATGAAAGGGTTTGCATCTGCAAAATTGATGGCTGGCTTAGAAGTTTGTTGGGGTCCCGACTGAGCTGGCTCTGTGTCGGTGTCAGAACACAGTTAACGCGGATCTCTGCTCGGCTCATTTCTCTCCAGGCGCAACTGCTACTCTGTGCTAGATGTCATGGAAGGGCTGCTGTCAAGATGCAGAGCACTGCCCACCCTGGCCACCTGCAGCCACCAGCTCTCTGGGTATGTTCCTCACAGGTGTTACCACTGTGACCCCGAGAGAGGGAAGCGCTTGGTGTTATCCCGCATGTTCCAGCCCCAGAACCTTCGGGAAGACCAGGTGCTCTCTCTTGAGGGCAGATCTGACGACCTGACCTGTAAGAGCCAGCGGCTGATGCAGCAGGTAGGCCTCATCTACCCGGCAAGCCCCGGCTGTTATCACCTCCTGCCTTATACCGTGCGTGCCATGGAGAAGCTCCAGCGGGTGATAGACCAGGAGATGCAGGCCATCGGGGGGCAGAAGGTCAACATGCCCAGCCTCAGCCCAGCGGAGCTCTGGCGAGCCACCAACCGGTGGGACTTGATGGGCAAGGAGCTGCTAAGACTTAGAGACCGACATGGCAAGGAATACTGCTTAGGACCCACTCACGAGGAAGCTGTCACAGCCCTGGTCGCCTCCCAGAAGACACTGTCTTACAGGCAGCTCCCATTCCTGCTGTACCAGGTGACGAGGAAGTTTCGGGATGAGCCCCGACCCCGCTTTGGTCTTCTCCGTGGCCGGGAGTTCTACATGAAGGACATGTACACCTTCGACTCCTCCCCAGAGGCTGCCCGGCAGACCTACGGCCTGGTGTGTGGGGCCTACAGTAGCCTGTTCCACAGGCTGGGGCTGCGGTGCATCAGGGTCCAGGCGGACGTGGGCAGCATCGGGGGCACTGCGTCCCATGAGTTCCAGCTGCCGGCCGACATCGGGGAGGACCGATTTGCAGTCTGTCCCAGCTGCGGCTTCTCGGCCAACATGGAGACACTGCTCTTGTCACAGACCGACTGCCCGGCCTGCCAGAGCCCACTGACCGAAGCCAGAGGCATTGAGGTGGGGCACACGTTTTACCTGGGCACCAAGTACTCCTCCATTTTCAATGCTCAGTTCACTGACGCCCAAGGAAGACCGTGCCCGGCTGAGATGGGCTGCTATGGCCTGGGCGTGACTCGGATACTGGCTGCTGCCATTGAAGTGCTGTCCACGGAGGACTGCATTCGCTGGCCCGGCCTCCTGGCACCTTACCAGGTGTGCCTCATCCCCCCAAAGAAGGGCAGTAAGGAGGAGGCGGCCACTGAGCTCACAGGACACCTGTACGACCTCATTACAGAGGCAGTGCCGCAGCTCCGTGGGGAGGTGCTGCTCGACGACAGGACCCATCGAACCATTGGAAACAGACTGAAAGATGCCAACAAGTTTGGGTACCCCTTTGTGATCATTGCTGGCAAGAGGGCCCTGGAGGACCCTGCACATTTTGAAGTTTGGAGCCAGAACACAGGGGAGGTAGTCTTCCTCACCAGAGAAGGAGTCACGGAATTTCTGAGTCAAGTGCAGGTGGTCTGAAAGCCCCCGAGCCAGCGCCCCCCATTCTGCAGCCTTGGCGTTCATACTAGTGCTGCCTTTTCCTGTACTCCCTTCCAGGGCCACTCTCTCCAGAAACAAGGCAGCTCGCGGAAGATGGGAGCGTGTTAGGGAAACCGACTTTTATCCAGTCCTTTGTTCACACTATTTATATTTGAAGTCGGTGGTTCCATTCTCTGGACCGGCCATACTGCCACATACCATTCCTCTAGTCCATTGTGGAGGCTTCTGTTAGGAGGCAGAGGGGCAAGAAAGAGCTGCTCATCTTGGCCCTCAAGTGAGTCACTTCCCTTCTCTCTGCCGAGGTTCCCACTGGGGGGATGGCAGTGGCCGGTGGCCAAGGCCCTTCCAGCTCTAGCAGTCTGACCCCTGGCCTCTTGCTGCATATGGTGTGGACAGTAGGCGCACCATCCCTCCTCCCCCTGGACACGTCCCTTCCCCTGCTGGGGCCTTGGACTCCCCATCTGTGGCATGAGAAGGTGGAACTAGATCCATAAGGTCCTTACAGCTATCACTGGCAGGTTCCACAAGAGGTTCAGGACAGGCGGATCTGGTTCCTCTCCTCCTCCAGAGTCTAAGCTACACGAAAGTTGATAGAATTAGCTAATGGCTCAAAAACCACCTCCAGAGAGCTGGCTCTATCGAGGCGGCTTAGCACAGAGATGGTGTTACATTGATTGAATAAAGTCAGACTCCTGGGATGAGCCTTGCATGCTAAGGTGGAACAGTGGTAATGCCTGCCATTTTAGCCGGCAGCGGCTTCCTATCTGAGACTCTCCTTTCCTTTCTTTCTCTGTTATTTCTGCAGTCCACTCAAAAAAAATACACCCCACCTATGGGGTGCTCCTGGACCTCTGCCTGCCCCTGCACTCTCCCGTTCCGCTTTGATAGCATAGATTCTTGTCTGGCGCACACACAGCTCCTTGTTCAGTAGGCTCACCTCTTGTGGTTGACCGTCAGTTCCCTGAGGCCACCGTCCTAGGCCGATACCCAGCATACCACACTTCTGGTCACTGCCAGTTGTCCCACCTGCCGAACAGCTTCCTAGCGGCGTGTTACTGCTACGGCTGTTACTGCCCGAATAGTGCACGCCTGAGCACACAGCAGCAGGTGTCCTGGTTAACAGGACGGGCCTCAGGCCTACCCTTGGCTCTCAGGGCCCAGCATTCAGGCCAGGACATGTGCATTCTGAGAGCAAGCCTAGAGAGGTAGGATTGTAAGTCAGGGGACCTTCCCCTCAGCTACACATTGGTCCCACACAGTTCTGCTTAGGGCCTGGGGTGTGGCCTGTGCATCATGCAGTTTAAAGCTCTGTAGATTATTCTAACGCGCACAGTCGACTCATGGTTCCCAGCATACTTCTGGGCGGCAGCCGACCCTGAGCTGCTTTGTAGCCAGGCATTTCTTTGAGTAATGCCCTCTGTACGTCATCAGACTGATGGGAGCTTTCTGCTTTTAATGGTCTGCCCATTCATTTGTTGAGGGCCTGCTGCACACCACTGTGCTGTGAGGCATGTTCGTGTATCATGTTCAGACCTAATGCTCTGCAAGGTGGGTGCTCTTCTCCTTTTACAGATGAGGAACCTGAAGGTCCATTCAGCAACTTCCTCGAGGATGCGGAGCTACTGAGCATCAGAGCTAGAATCCGAGTATTGACCAGCACAGCACCGTGCCATTCCTGTTAGGACTGCATGGCCTCTGCTCAGACAAAAGTGATTCCAGTAAATAAAACTGAATTATTTATGTCTTATCTAATCACGTTAGCCTCAGCTAGATGAGAAATTAGAATTTGTGTGGATTGGTGCTTTAATATTTTTAAAAATTTAATTCTTATTGACATATAGTTGGCACATAGGGTGACATCAGTCTCAGGTATACACCGTAGTGACTCAAAAACTGTTACGCTGTGCTCACCACAAGGGTAGCTCCTGTCTGTCACCACATGCTGTCACCATACCATTGACTAAATTCCCTGTGCTGTGCGTGTTATCCCAGTGTCCTCTTCGTTCCATAACTGGAAGACTGTACCTCCCACTCCCCCTTTTTTAATGTTAAATTTGTGCTCCATAAGCTGATTTACGAAAGCTGGAAGGCTAGCCAAATGTAAGCACTTTTTAAAACCAGATTCCAGGAATAGAGAACCGATTAACTTTAAACTGTTCGTGAGTGTCCGAGGTACAAGATGATTTGAGGATGATACAGAATCCTGGAAGTTTAGGACAGGAGGACTCGGAGCCCGCCTGTCCACCCCTCATCTCACAGATGGGAAGCAGGCCTGGAGTGGGAATTAACCTGCCACACGGCATCTGGCTGGCGGAACACCGGATCGCAGGCCAAGTGCTGCGTCCCCTACATCAGGCTACCTCCCGTCAGTCTTATTGCATCAAGAGAGGACTGGCTGGATCAGCCTCTAAACTACAAAAGCCTTGTTGGTACTGTCCTTTATTTTCCAAGGGAGACAAATACAGGGAGTATAGCGATTGCCCAGCAGCACGCTGAGTTGAAACCCAAGTGTCCTGATTCCTAAGCCAGCATGTCTTCTAAGAAGCCGGGGGCAGAAGGATACAGTGGAGAGATCAGAGCCTGAAAGAAACATAATCCTAGACCCACCATTTACCAGGGATAGGATCTTACACAAATTCCTTGGCCTTTACGGGTCTCAGCTTCTTCATCTGTAAGACATGCTCCTGGCAGGGCATCTCCCAGGGTAGTCTGGGGTTGCCTGAGCTTGCTTATGTTAAGTACTTAACCCTGTGCTCCCAGGAAACACCTTCACGCCAGAGGTAGGCAATGGCACTACGGGGAGCTCAGGTTCCGCTAGTAACGTATCTTAAGACCGGTATCTTGTCTTGATATGATGCTTTACAACCTTCCTGGGGAGTGCCTGGGGCCATAAGTGACGCCCGTGGAATGGCTCCATCTCCTTAGAGAAAAGACAGATATTCAAACTGTGTACCTTACTCTCTCCCGTCCGAATGTGCCGTTACCTCTTGCCATAAATAGATGAAATGGGGACTCTGGCAAAATCACAGGTACAAGATGTATTATCATTTCTCATTCCTTGGGGAGATCTAGAAGCAACTGGCTGGGAAATATTTAACAGAATTAATACTTGGGGACAAAAGCTGGTGCATAACAAAAACCATTGTATAAATCAAGCTTAGAATGTAAATCAAGGGCTCCCTTAATATTCTGTGTTTTAATGGAAGGAACACCTGCTGGGCTATCAATAAAGGCATTTTGCAGAAATCCATTGAAATTGTCATTTGCTTAACTCTTTGAGTGCCAGGGAGCTTTACAGAGTTCCCAGCATCCATTTCTATGCCAAGATGCCAGAATGCTGTTTGGAATGGATGGCTATGCATCCAAGGGCATGTAAGGTTCTAGAGTTAGGAAAAGTTTTATAATGTGGAAAAAGGGAAACTTTATGATGTTATTGCACACTTAGGATATGCTTGAAAAAAATCAAGATGCTGCACTTAATTGAAAACAATGACTTCATAGTGATCCACATGAGACATTGGAGTCCCACTGCCTAGGCCGCTTGATAGCTGTGCAACCTGGTGCGAGATGCTTCCTTGTGCTTTCTCTGCTTCCTCAGTAAAACAGAGACAACAGTGCCTGGCTCATAGCAGGGCAAGTGGCAGCTGCCCTCATACTAAGCCAGGTAGCCCTTCGCATGTAAGGGGGTGGGTAGAGGAGGGTGCATGTGGGCCAGCAGAATGAGGTAACCCCCTTAGGGGCCCCTGTTCAGATACCACTGTGGTGCAGAGATGCTGTCCACTGCTACTAAGCCAGCTGCTCTGAAGGCTGCTAATGAGCTTCCATAGTTAAAGCCTAATTGCCCCTGGCTAAATAAAACTGTAGGGCTAGAAGAGCGAGGAGGAAGCACCTGCTGGTTAATGGTAACTGAAGTCTGGCCATTTGCAAGGGAAGAACTTGTTACCCAGGCTTACCCAGAAAGCTCGTGGGCTGACGGGGTGTCAAGTGCTATGGGGAGTCAGCTGCGGGCAGTCTGGCTCCACAGACTAGACTCTTCTAGCCAGGCAGTTTGCAGACGTTGCATGACACCGAATGCCAAGACTACCACAACATTGCTGTGAACAGGCAAGGGCCGCCACGTCTCATGCCAGCTCCTCCAAGGTAGAGGCCCAGTCTTGCTACAGATAACTCCTGAAGGGCTTAGGGGAGTCGTGGATTCAAATTCTAGCTCTGCCTTTCACTAGCTAGCTAACTTTGGGTAAGTTACTTACCCTCTCTGTGCCACTTTCCTCGTCAGTAAAATGGTATGTAAACTACTTGCCTGCTGCCAGTGTCAGGCAGGGTAAGGACTTAGCCAGTCCACATAAAGCACCCTGGAACAGTCTAGCATATCCTGTGTTCAGTGGATGGCAGCTGTTATTGCAGCTAGGCCATTTATGCGCTCCCCCTGGAATATGCCTTGCCTTTGTGTGCAAGGGGGGGAGGAGGAAGGGAGGGGTCCTTCCAAAACCCACTCGCCACCCCTCCCGTCCCTCTCCAACTCCATGGCCCATATCCATCAAGTGTGAGGTCTTCCACCCTTAATCTGCTTAGAATTCATCACCCCTTCCTCTGTGCCATCAGTCAGTAATTAGTTGTATACCTGCTATGTGCTGAGCAGGTGCTTTGCTAGGTGCTGGCAGTACAAAAGTACACAGCTCAGGGACCTGACTCAGTTTGCAAAGTGGGAGGAATATCCAGTAAGCAGACAACTAAAATGCAGTGTGGCAGGTGTACAGGTGCAGGTGCCTCAGGATGTTTGAGTAGGGGGCCAGGAGGACTTCCTGGAGGAGGCAGCCAGGCCTGATTAAAGACTAGATAGATGTTAAACAGGAGAGGGAGAAATCGTTGGGGGTAGAGGCAAGGGTGCACGTGAGAGTAAGAATGCTCCAGGCAGAGGGAGCAGAATGTGCAAAGGTCTGAAGCTAAGGGCATGGCATGATTAGAGAATGGCAAGTGTTGTAGATTGAGCACTTAGTTCGAGGCAAGCTATTTGTGGGTATCATATAAATTAATTCATACAATACAGCACCTGCATGAAGTAGGTGCTATCATGCTGTTTGTGTTATACATGAGGAAACTGAGGCACAGTACCTGAGTGCCTGGGGCCATCTGTTAGTGAGTTGCAGGGATGGAACTGGAAGGCAAGGCAGCCTAGCTCCAGAGGTGAAACTCAAGGCACTGCACCTTCCTGCTCATAGCAGAACTGTGTCCAAGACGGCTGGGCTAAGGAGGTTGGAGAGAGGAAGCCAGAGGGGTGGTTAGGGACCTGGAGGGACTTGAGTGCCATACCAGCAGTGCTGATGAGGGAAGGGGGAGCAGTTTCCAGTCCAGGTGAGATTTATGACATCTACTCAATAGTGTGACCTTGAGGGCAGAGGCTACCTGATGCACTTGGGCTGGTGCCAATTAGGTTAAATGTGTATAAAGCAAATGCAATAAAAGGAACACAGAAAAGGAGGGAGGTGGGTTCTGGAGTGAGCTGCGTGGGTTTAAATCCTGGCTCTGACACTCACTAGTAGTAAGACCTCGTGTCCCCATCTCCTATATAAAATTGGGCTCATAGGCCTGAGCACATGGCTGTCGTGATGAAAGGAAAGAATCCAGGTATGTGGTTTGCACAGCACCAGAACTCTGTTTCTCATCTGTAAAATGAGGTGGCAGATGGCTGAGTCTTTGAGGGAACTCTGACTTGGTCCTGCTGGTGTCCCAAGTAGGGGCAGGTCACATGCCTCGGGATCCACCTGCCTGCAGAGGAGAGCTGGGGTTTACACCCAGGCCAGCGGGACCCCTGCTCCTAACACCAGCCAAGCTCTAGCCCTGGCCTCCGTGGCCAGCTCCTAAGTTTGCGCCCCACCCTCTCCCCTGGAGGGAGACCACAGAGGATAACAGAGGTCAGAGAAGGCAGGGCCCATAGGCCAGGGAGGCCCGAAGCCTTCTTGGAGAAGGTGCAAGACAGGCAGCGGGGCTTGAGCCTGAAACGCCAATGCTAATGCTTATGTGTGTACAGATGAGTCCTCCAAACAGAACTGTTTTTTTTTTCAGTAGTTCTTTCCTTCATTTGTCCATCCATTCATTAGCACACACACACTGAGCTCCCTGTGTCACACTTACTGTGTGTCAGGCCCGGGCACTAAGACAAATCCCCATCTGGCCTCTGCCCTTTGGAAGTTTTAGTGCAGGTTTTCTCAAACTAAGCATTATTGACACTTTGCCAGATAATTCTTTGTTGTGGGGGGCTGTCCTGTGCCCTCTAGGATATTTAGCAGAATCCTTGGCCTCTACCCACTAGATACCAGGAGATCCCACCAAGCTGTAAGAACCCAAAGTCTGTAGACATTAACAGGTGTCCCCTGAGGTACAAGTCTTCCCTGTTGAGAACCACTGGTCTGATGCTACCATCCAGAAGTGCGATGGATAAGCCTGTGGTGTGCGGACTCAGTTTACAAATGGAGGCTCCACACACTCCTTCCTCACAGGAACAGCAAGTCAGCAGCTGCCAGGGTCCCAGCTGTGGTCTACGGACTGCCATGCTAAGTCACTCTCCTCCCTTTTCTGCTTCTGCCCACCCTAGCTGGACAGCAGGGCAGGGCCTGAAGCTGGCTGATAACCGGGTTTGCCAGAAGCCCAAAGAATGGACTGGGGGGTAGGGATGAAGGTCCCAGAACTTGGTTTCTCAGGGGTGTCCAGGCAAGAGCAGGGTAAGCAGTCTGTTTCACAGATGAGTCAGGTGGCAAACTGGGACCTGCCCTGCCCCAGGACAGGGAGACTGCTGCCACACGGAGCCCTGCACTGCCTGCTAGAGTTGCTGCTGTTGGGCCTCTCATACAGAGTGCTGAGTCAGCAGCTGGGGAGAGAATGGCCTCAGTGTGGCCTAAGCCAGGGCAAGGGTGGAAGCTGGACTTCAGCTTCCCGGCCACATGCCACATGCAGGGACCCACACCTGGAAGGAACGCTGCATGGTTCTTTGTAAATATTCCACAGCAAATTGCCTTTCAAAGACTGTTGATCTTAAGGATAACAGCTGGTTTCAGTTTAACGATGTATCAGTTAGCATTGCTATAGTAACAACCCCCAAATCTCAGTGTTTATGACTACAACAAACATTTATTTCTCATTCATGTTACAATCAATGGCTGCAGGCCAGTTCCCTCAGCCCCACCTCAAGTGTCTTACCATTCTGGCACCCAGGCTGATGAAACAGCCACTAGCTGGGAAATATGTTCTCATGGCAGAAGGAAAAGAACATGGAACTTACCACCCAATGCCCTCCAAACCCCTATCTGGACATGTACACCCACATCCCTCTGCCTGCCCTGGGGAATGGAGTGGGTGCTGCAAACAGTCCTGTGGCTACAGGTAAGGGTGTATACTAGCCTCTACTAGGAAGGAGGAAGCAACCAGCTGCAGACAAATATATAACCTAAGACAACAACTCAACTGCCAGATTTTTAAAAGGCACAAAAATCCTATAATGTGAAAACTGGAGAGGAACTCAAGAGTCCACCATCCAAGTCTGTCAGTATACCCTACTGCACAGATCAGGAAAACTGGTAAACTTTTTAGGGGTTCTGCAGGAACCTGGTTTGTAGGTCTTCATGGATGCAGAAAGCGGAGTCAGATTTCTTGACCTCTTCTCACTCCGAGGGTCTACAAGCTTCCCATAAAGTAAGCCTCTCTGCTCGTGAGATACCTGGAAGCTGGAGTCCCTCAGCCTAAATGCCTTAAAATTACATGTGTGGTTTGAGGGGTAGCTTCCCTGAGGCCTCTACCACCACAAAGGTCCAGAACCAGGGCATTTGTCAGCGTCTATAGGCCAGTACACTTCCTCAGGTCAGCTGCTGTGTATTCTAACATGGTCCCTTCAGGGATGGAGGCTGGTGGTAACACAGCTCACAGTGAGTCCAAGAATGTCATGACCAAGGTGCGGAGTTTTTTTTTTATCAACAAAGGAGAGTGAAGACTGGCTGGAGCACTGGCAACAATGACCAGAGAGACTGTAAGTGACTTCAGGAAAGTCAGCAGCTCTGACCCCCACCACGATGCATAGAAGGACTGTCCCCAGGGTGGGAGAAATAAAGTGTAAGGCTCAGCTGACTCAAGTATGCTGGATTCCAGGCAGAAGAGAGTGAGGGAAGTGATCCAGGAGGCCTGGCTCCCATAGCCTGGCTTGGTCACTTTACCTGGTGCACCTTTCTCCCTTGGAGATAATTCCTACAAAA